TTATTTCAAAATCTTGACCGTATTTAAATCTTTCTTATAGTGAAAAAAATGAAATTCTGTCAAATATTACCGAAAAAAAATTCTATAAACGTTAAGATATCTATAAAATAATTAAAAGATAAATATTAGATAGAAATCGAAAATATGTGTAGAAAAATTATAATAGATGTGAAAAATGAAAATTCATGTTTATTTTTAAAAATAAAATTTCTTAAGATCCGGTACAAAAGTTAACAAATTGTTAAATGGAATTAGAAGTGTCTATATTAAAAATTATTACTCAATTATCTCACTCATGATTGGGCAAATTTTCCGTAATTCCAATTTTTAAAATTAAAAATTAATTAATTAAAATTTTTTAATTTTATTTAATTTTTTTTTTTTAATTAGGGAATTTATACAGTGTAAATTTCAAATTTATACAATTAATTTAGTTTACAATTATATTTATTTTTTTTTAATTAACAAAAGTATGTATGTTACAGATTAATTGGGGATAATTTTTATAATCAAAAATAAAATTATTTTTTTAATTGACAAATTCAATGAAATGCTTTTTGTATAAAAAACAACTTACGTAGAAATAATTATAACGTGTTTAAATTTTAAAATCTATGAGTAAATATCGTTAATATTCAGAGAGCATTTTTTTTTTAAACTTTCTTTGCACCTCTGATTACACAATAAAATATTCGTATCTTGACCTTATTATATGCACTTTTCATAACAGGATTTTAATATTAAGATTAATTACTAAATAACCGAAATTACAAAGTAGAAAAAGTGTTAATGTAAAAGTGTTAAAAGTGTTAAAGTGTTGATTCTGAAAAATTTTCTTTTTTTTAAAACTTAAGTATATTGGTATCGTATTTTAATTAAAAAGCCGTAAATTTAAGTATAATCCTTTTTTCCAACAGAGTGTGTGATACAATTATTTAATTAAATCAATTATAATATTATAAGTGGCTTAGGAAATCGTTTCCCAAAAAAAAGTGTCTCAAATGTTCTACTTTGTAAATGTCACTTATATGATAAGAGATCATTCATAAATTATAATTCATTACTCAAAATATGTCTCACAATTAGAAAATTAACGTTATATAATATTATTGCTTTCTTTCCCACGTAGATTTTTAACTAATTTTTGTCTTCTATCAATTTTTCGGAAGTAAAATCTCATAGATCAAAAATACTAAATTGCTTTTAATCATTTTCTTTTCAATTTCTTTTGCTTTCTTTCTAATTTCTTTTAATATAATATAATATCAATTTTTGAAAAATTCAATTATTTTATAAATTTTTATCAATTTTTGAAAAATTCAATTATTTTATAAATTTTTATCAATTTTTGAAAAATTCAATTATTTTTTAAATTTTTATCAATTTTTGAAAAATTCAATTATTTTTTAAATTTTTATCAATTTTTGAAAAATTTAATTATTTTCTAAATTTTTATCCTAAAAATACAATTGTATTTACAAATAATTTTTTCAAGTAAACGAATAAAATTATTTAATAAAATTTCATTTAAATTCTTCACAGAAATTAAGAAAATAAATTAATAATTTTTCAAAGACATAATTTAAATGTTATTACAGTTTTACAACAATTAAAATTTTCAACGATTTCAATTTAATAATCATTTAAAATTTAGTTATTTCTAAAAAAAAATCGTACTATAACGCTTTTAATATTCAATTATTATCTAAAATTACAACTGGAATTCGTTTTTAAAATTTTAAATCAATTCTTATTAGAAAGTTCAACTGAAATTCAAATACGTAAATACAAAAATAAATAATATATTGAATGTTTCTCAAAATTTAATTATTATAAAGAATTTATCATTTTTTAAAAAAAATAATTGAATTTCTGCAAAATTTTTTATTATTTATGAATTTAAATGAATTCTTAAGAAGAATATTAAATAATTTTTTTTTAAATAATTTAATTCTGATGAAAAATTTTATTATTTGGGAAAATAATTGAATAATTGTGAAGAATTAAAGAAAGAATTTATCAATTTTTTAAAAAATAATTGAATTTCTGAGAAGAAATTTATTATTTATGAAAATAATTGAATTATATTATTGTAAGGCATTTTTTAAAAATTCTTTTTAAATAATTGAATTCTCGTAAAAATTTAACATTTTTTAAAATAATTGAATTTTTACGAAGGTTTGCTCTAAAATTTTTTATAATAATTAAATTCATTCAAGAAATATAATTAATAATGAATTGAAAATAATTATTGCACTCTAAGAAGCAAATTATATAAAATTTGTTTAATAATTGAATTTTTTCGAAGAATTTTATTCAAATTTTAAAGAATAATTACATTTTTAGTGGAATTTATTTAAAACTATGTATAAAAAATAATTGAAATTATGCGATGACTTTTATTATTTATAAAAGTAATTGAATTTTGGTCGCTGAACTTTAATATAGTTTTTAAAATAATTGCATTCTTGAGAAGCATTTAAAAAAAAATCTTTTTTAATAACAATGATTCTTTTCGAAAAATTTTATAAACATTGTGTTTTAAATAATTGAATTACTTTGAAAATTAAATATTATTTATAAAAATAATTGAATTCTTTCAAAAAAATTTTTTTAAATTCTATTGAAAACAATTCAATTATTACAAAGAATTTCATTAAAATTTTCTTTCAATAATTGAATTCTCCTGAAATATTTTATTATTTGTGAAAATAATTTAATTCTTGTGAAGAATTTAAGAAAGAATTCAAGAATTTATCAATTTTTTAAAAAATATTTGAATTTCTGAGAAGAATTTTATTATTTTTGAAAGTAATTGAATAATTCATGTGAAGAATTTTATTTAATTCTTTATAAATAATTGAATTCTGGTAAAAAATTTTATTATTTGGGAAAATAATTGAATTTCTGAGAAGAAATTTATTATTTATGAAAATAATTGAATTCTTGTGAGGAATTTTTTAAAATTTTTTTTAAATAATTGAATTCTCGTAAAAATTCAATATTTTTTTAAATAATTGAGTTTTTACGAAGGATTGCATTAAAATTTTTTATAATAATTAAATTTATTCAAGAAACATAATTAATAATGAATTGAAAACAATTATTACACTCTAAGAAACAAATTATCTAAAATTTTTTTAATAATTGAATTTTTTCGAAGAATTTTATTCAAATTTTTAATAATAATTACGTTTTTAGTGGAATAAATTTAAAACTATATAAAAAATAATTGAAATTATGCGATGACTTTTATTATTTATGAAAGTAAATGAATTTTGGTCGCCGAACTTTAATATAGTTTTTTAAAATAATATAATTGCATTCTTGAAAAGCAGTTAAAAAAAATCTTTTTAAAATTTTATTAAAATTCTATTGAAAACAATTCAATTATTACAAAGAATTTCATTAAATTTTTTTTCAATAATTGAATTCTCGTGAAATATTTTATTATTTGTAAAAATAATTTAATTCTTATGAAGAATTTAAGAAAGAATTTTATTAATTTCTGAGAAGAATTTTATTATTTATGAAAATAATTGAATTCATGTGAAGAATTTTATTTAATTCTTTTTAAATAATTGAATTCACGTGAAAAATTCTATTATTTTGGGAAAATAATTGAATAATTGTTAAGAAGTAGAGAAATAATTTATTAATTTAAAAAGAATTGAATTTTTGAGAAGAATTTTATTATTTATGAAAATAATTGAATTCTTGCGAAAAATTTCATGAATTTTTTTTTAAATAATTGAATTCTTGTGAAAAATTTTATTATTTAGAAAAATAATTGAATAATTGTGTAGAATTAATAGAAAGAATTTGAAAAATGTATATCAATTTTTTGAAAGCTAATTGAATTTCTCAGAAGAATTTTACTATTTTTATAGAAAGAATTGAATTTTTGCCAAGAATTTTTATTTAATTCTTTGTAAATAATTGAATTCTCGTGAAAAAATTTTTATTTCCGAAAATAATTGAATTCTTGTAAAGAATTTTGTTAAAAATTTTTAAAAATAGTTAATTGAATTCTTGAGAAGCATTAATTTATTATTCATGCGAAAATAATTGTTATTCTTGCCTGGAATTTTATAATATTTTTATTTAAATTTTTATAGTTAAATTTTCGTGAAAATTTTTATTATTAATTTCAACCCCACTCCTCCCGCAATATTTCTAACACAAAACTACTTTCTATATTCATCAAAAATTGCAATTAATGCAAAAAATAATACAAAAAAAAAATTCCCCTTCGTATTAAGATTTATACCACAAAAATAAGGTTTATATATTACTTAACTTAATTTAAACAAAACATTTTAAAAAACTACTCTTATTTTTCCTCTTTTTTCGCATTTTGAAAAGCGACTTAATATTCTTCCCTCCAAATGTAAATTTTTAACAAGGTTATAAAAAATGTAAATTTTTATCAAAAGAGTTATATGGTGAGAGAGAAAAAAAAAATGTGTGAATAAATTTGCTCGTGTAAACAAAGTGAGCTTCTTTTTCTTTTAATGGTAAAATTCGTTTCATATTTAAATATATGAAATCTCTCACCACCCCTTTCGCGCGCGCTCGTCGAGGAGAATAAAAATTTTTAAAGTTTTCTCCATTCTTACGAAATGTAATCTAGGTTGGCAATGGCCATGTCGACTTCATGGGAACCTGTCTCGCGCGAGTGTCGTGTGCCCCAAGTATAGCAAACGAGAGGGAACGTTACAATATCAACATGTATGCATATGCATACATTTATATCTCTATATATATACATATATACTCTAATATATAGAAATTTATATTTATATTTATATATATATATATATATATATATATATATATATATATATATATTATATACAACACTAAAATATGTGAGAGTATATGTATATATATGTTTACTGACAGAATATAAGGAACCTACGTACAAACGTATTGCCTCGCAAAGGAGAACTCCCCCCCCCACTTTTACCTAAAGCAACAGGAAAGGTTATAAAGGACCGTCGTCATTTCTATCCAGCTGCACTCTCTCTGTGAAACTCTTGGTGGATCGTTCTACGAAAAAAAGAAAACCTCCCCATCACCTCCCACATCACGTGCACGATGAGGATTATATTATTGGTACGTGTTTCGCAATTCAACTATAGTGATGTGAAATGAAATTACCAATTATCCCCCACACGACTCTTTCTCTATATTATACTTCCGCGAAAATCTTTTCGACCTTTTATCTTCACCCCCCACCCCCTTAATATAAAGTGCATGTGAATTGTGTTTTTTTAAAAAAAAAAAAGTGATTTTTTTTTTATTTTGCGAAAACAAAAAAAAAATGTTTTTGCCACAATAATCTCACCTGGTTTGTTTATTTGTCTGAGAGAAAAAAAATGTAATTTCTTCAAAACTCGAAAACGAAAAATAATTGATTTTGATTATTGAAAAAAGTAACAAGTTTTTTTTAAAAATTTTTTAATTAATCATTTTTTAATTTCTGCTTAAACCAATTTTTTTTTTTTAATATTTATTTCCCAAAGTAAATACTTCGGGTAATTAATATTTTTTTAAATATTAATTTCCCGAAGTAAATATACTTTGGGAAATTAATATTTTTAAAGAAGAAAATTGGTTTTTGATTTTGTTTGATAATTTTGGAAAAATTATAAATGATGATAAATAATATTGAATGATAATAAATTATAATAAACGAAAATAAATAATAGTAAATGATAAAAAGGATAAAAAATATAAGAAATAATAAAATAATAAATAATAAAACAATAAATATATATATAAAAATAGATAAAATTAATAATAAAAATACTAAAAAATATTAAGAAATAATTTTTAAATACTAATTTGAATAATAAAAAGGAAATTTCATTTAATAGTTATTTAAATTACTGATAACAGTTAAAATTAATAATAGAGTGGAAGTTATCGATGTAGTTCAAATTAATAATAAATGACAAGAACAATTAGTAATTGTGCCAAATAAAATATTATTAATTAATTGGTTATTATATTTGCAGTTATTTATATTATTATATTATTATATTATATATTATTATATATTATATTATTATATTATTATATTATTATACTATTATATTATTATATTATTATATTATTATACTATTATATTATTATATTATTATATTATTATATTATTATATTATTTTTATGTCATATAATAATAATAATAAAAATAATATAAAATCATAACTGCAAATATAATATTCAAAAAATTTTGATGTTGTTTTTAAATATAATAAATATAATAATCAATTAATTAATAATATTTTATTAAGCACAATTAAAAATTGTTTTTGTAAATTATTATTACTATTACTATTATTATTAAGTATTATATTTTAACCATTTTTATTATTACCATTATTGTTAATAATTATAAGTAATAATAATTATATTACTATTATTATTACTAATTATAAGTAATAATAATTATTTAATAATAATAATTATTATTATTATAATTCTATTCTAAAATATGAAAATAATTTTAAATTAATTAATATCATTATTATCATCACCTTTTTAAAATTGTTGCTGTCAACAGTTAATTAGTAATTAATACTAATAATATAACTAATTAATAATTATTTTGTAATAAAAAGGTCTAAATAGAGTTATTTTCATTAACATTACATATTATTATAATTGTAAATAACCGTATTTATTTATTTCTTTTATTTCAAAATTATTTTAAAAAGTTTTAATAAAAACCAAATGGTAATTAATAATGTTAATAGTTATCAATTAGTAATTATTAATGCTAATATTGATTAAAAATTTTTAACTTGTAATTCTAAAAAATTTTAATTAATAATAGGATCTATTAATTAATATTAAATTAATAAGTGGGTTAAATTAATAATTAGTTATTTTCATAAATTTTTTTCTAAATTAATAATAAATAATAGGTTAAAAATTATTTACTAATAATATTAATTAATTAATATTTTATTAATATTAGAAACGAGAGTAAAATGATTGATTATAATAATAATTATTAATTTTTTTATTATTGGATTGATATTATTTATTATCATTATTGTTGTAGTACACAATCGGAGAAAAATTTTATTTAATGCAAATATAATTTATTTGATTTAAAGAAAAGTATATTTGTCTCAGAGCCGACTAGGTATTTATTTCTTTTAAATGGTTATTTATTTGTTTTAAATAAAAATTTTATTCAAAATAAAAAACTTTTATTTGAACTAAATAAAACTTTATTGAAATCAAGGAAAATTTTATTTAAGTCAAATAAATTTTATTTAAACCAAATAAACTTTATTTCAAACAAATAAAATGTCTAGTTGGCTCTAAGTCAAATATATACCTTTTTTCTGGGTGTAAATAATTAAAAAGTTATTTATTTATTTATTTATTATTAACATAAATATTATTTATCATAATCATCATCATTATTATTATTATTATTATTACAGTAAATAATCAAAAGGTTTATTATTTATTATATTTGTTTTTTATTTTTCATTGAATTTACTGCAATTGAAATGAATTTTTAACACTCAAGTGAAATAAACGTAGAAACTCGATCAACATTTATTGAGTGAAAATTCACTACATAAAGTCACGTCTACCTCTCATAGCTCGGATTAAGTAACTTTTGCTTACGAGGACAAGTATTTTGACCTCTTGGAAATTTTTTTTTTATTAATTTCAAAACAGCTTACTAGAAAAAAATTTTTTTTTTCCATATTTTGAAAAATATATTAAAGAAAATCACTTTTAGCCTTTTTAACCCTTTCCTCCCTCTAAAAGAAAAGAGTCGCGGGATCATTGATAATAAAAAAATTATATACTGAAAAAAATTTATTTTGATATAAAGAATGTCATACTTAACTTTTTTATTGTTTCAAATAAATTTTATTTAGATCGAATAAAATTTTTTGTCAGTGTTTCTGAGTGTAATCACAGTGATTCTAATTTTCAATTAATTTATTTTTTCTAATTAAATTCAGATAAAAAACGAATCGAAATTTTTGTTCCAATTTTTGTATTTTTTTTTTGTATTTTCGTATTTTGTATTTTTGTGTCTTAATTTGTTATCTTTAGAATAACTTATAGAATAAAATTAAACTATAAATATTTAAAAATAGATTCTAAGCATAAATATTCTTAATTTTTCAGAATAAACTTTTTTCGGTACCGATACCTATTTATAAATAAAAATAAATATAAATAAATATATATAAATATACATGTGCACGTACATATATTATTGTGCACTATACTAGTTGCAACAGTGAAAGTAACAACCCGAAGAAAATTGCACGGTGATAAATTCCTACTTATCGGATTTATACGGTAAATGTTATAAACTATATTAAGCCGGTGCCTTACTAAAAGTTCAATCGTCACGTGTTCAATTCCCCGCGAAATAATGCAAACCTATATATAGTATATATATATAGAAAAGTGCATATGGTGTTTGTGTGTTTGTGTATTTTGCCGCATGTCGACATAAAACTCAATCCGCGGCTCCTTATGTGAGATTCTTGGGTTACGCGACCTTAGACTCAATTATTTATGTCACACAGATCGTTTCTCACACTTTTGCATCGATTTTTAGAAATTTCGTGTGTTTAAATTATTATTTTCAAATTTCGAAAAGACCTTCTTCCATTAAATTTACATTGTGTACAGATCCAATAACAAGTTTCAATCGCGATCTAAATTTTTTGTTTTTCACTCGAATGTTCGAACGAAGGGAAATTCAATTGAATCAAATGAAAATTTATTTGAATCAAGCAAAATTTATTTGAATCAAGCAAAATTTATTTGAATCAAGCAAAATTTATTTCAACCAAAGAAAATTTAATTTAGCCAAATAAAATGTATTTGAATTTTGAACCAAGTAAAATTTAATTGAACCAAAGAAAATTTATTTGAACCAAGCAAAATTTATTTGAATCAAGCAAAATTTATGTAAACTAAACAAAATTTATATTGAACCAAAATAATTTTTAACATTTTAACAAGAAACAAAAAATAACAAATATTCACTGGAAAATTATCAATATTAATTAAAAATTAATTTTAAAAAATCAATCAATTAAAATAAAAAAAGATAATTCTAACTTTAAAAACTAGTCGATAATTAACATATTTTAATTGAAAAAGTTAAAAACACTTGAGATCCTCAATTGAGTATAACTGAAAAAATATGCAACGCAAGTGGAATTTTTATAATCCAATTTTCCCTGATACTTTTTTATATACATATATACTTGTCACGATTCAAAAAAAAAACTTCTTCCTTTTGAATCTCTTATACAAAAAATATATTCCTTACAAAGAAAAAAATTACTAAACAACTATAGCGTCAAAGGAATATTTTCTACTCTTAATTGAGGGAACCTTATTTTTTTTCTTCTTTATCGCTCGATAATATCAACTTCAAACGAAAGGAAATAATTGTTGAATATAAAAGAAAGTTTTCTGGGTTAAATTGAATTGATACAGATATTTGAAAAGAAGTTACACATCTATAGATTTGTATTTCTTTTTTACTCGACGGATATTTTTCCGATTAATTAAATTTTACCAGTTGGGACATAATAATTGGGTTAATTACTTTCATATTACATTCTATTATATTTTTTAATATATAATAATATTATTTCAGGATACTTTATATTCTCAAAATATTTATTTTTAAATCTCAAGTTATTTTTAAATCTTAAGATACTTTAAACTCTCAAGATACTTTAAAATATTAAGATATTTTAAGATCTCTACATATTTTAATATTACAAGATACTTTAAAATCTTAAGATATTTAAAAATATTAACGAAATTTAAATTCTCAAAATACTTTAAAATCTTAAAATATTTTTAAAAATTAAGATACTTTAAATTCTGACAATACTTTAAAATCTCAAAATATTTAAAAATCTTAAGATACTTTAAAATATTAGGTAAATATTAAATATTCGATACTTTAAAATCTAAAATATTTAAAAATATTGTAACACTTTAAATTATTAAGATACTTTAAAATATTAAGATACTTTTAAATCTCAAGATACTTTAAAATATTAAGATACTTTAAAATATAAAGATACTTTAAAATC